CATCAGGTAGCTGCTGGCTTAGGTGAGTCCCTTCCCTGCCCCTGCCTCAAGGCCTAGCAGCTAATGGTCCCTTCAGGTTGCTACAACAGCCCAGACGGTCACAAACAGGAGGCTTTCCACACTGTGTCATCAGGATGCCTGGAGTGCTGTGACAAATTCTTACAGAGAGTCCTGTTAGCAAGCTTGACAGTACAGTGCAGTCTCCCCCTGGTCAAAAGGCAGCAACAGCAGCTTAAAAGTGCCATCCTTATTTTTCTCAGCTCAGAGCAAAGGTCGAAATGAGTACCACAACTCGCCATCTCAAAGGTCCATGGCAAGAGTTCAGTTCCCCGAGTATCTTCCTGAGAACGTGCATAGAAGTCGATCTCTGGGGATAGGAAGCCAGATGGAGTCCACTGCTCTAAAAGAGACAGCGTAGGGACCAGCAGGTGGCGTAATGGTTACATAGCTGGCCTCCCACATAGTTGACCGTGCTCTGAGTCCCGGACCGGTGGCTTCAACTCACACTGGGCCAAATCAAAATAAATAAAGTTAAATAAAATAATTTCTTTTAAAAAAGGGGGGCTGACAGGTGGTGTGGTGGTTAAGGTGCTGGACTCCCACATGGCTGACTGTAGTTCAAGTCCTGGACCTGGCTGCTTGCTTTATCACTTTCTCTCTCTGTCTCTCTCTGGTCAAATCAAAATAAATAAATAAAATTGATAAAGGTAAATAAAATAATTGAAAAAAAAAAAACAACAACTCACGCTGGGTGTGTGTGCATATGTGCCCAAAATTCCAAGAGTAGAATGGGTGGGAAGGAATTGTGGCATGGCCATTCTCCCTGGGAGGGTGATATATCATTTTCTGTCTCTCTGTCTCTCTAGTGAGTGCACACGCCCTACAGCAAAAATTTCTCTCTCTAAAAAATGAGAGAGACAATATAACCTACAATGATATGGATAGTTTTTAAAACACTGTGTAGTGGGGCTGGCAGGTGGCATGGTGGTTAAGAATGCTGGACTCGGGACCAGCAGTTAGCGGAATGGCTATGTCACTGAACTCCCATGAAGTCAACCATGATTCGAGTCCTGGACCTAGTGGCTTAAACTCACACCAGGCACGTGTGCATGTGTGCCCAAGATCCTGAGAGAAGGGAGGAGAAGGGATTGCGGTGTGATCATTCCCCTGGGGGTGATTTCTCGCTTTCTGTCTCTCTGTTTCTCTCTGTCTTTCTGGTGAGCGCATATGCCCTATAGCAAAAATGTCTCCAAAAAAAAAGAACACTAGACTCTATGTGGCTGACCGACTCAAGTCTCAGACCTAGCAGCTTGCTTTCCCACTGTCTCTGTTTCTGTCTCTCTCTGTCTTTCACTGGTCAAATTAAAATGAATAATAATAACAAATAAAGTTAAAAAAAAACTGTGTTGTTAAAGAGGGGTAAGCACAGTTATACATACAGAGAGCCAAATACCCCTGAAGAAAATTGGGGTTCCTACCAATCAGAGGTTGCACACCCTGGCTGGACTCCCAGGACTGAGACAAGGGCAGCTTGGAGCACCAGGCACTCACATCTCCCAGGCTGCAGGGTCATCCGACAGTGTGTGTCCCTGTTCTGTCTCACCAGTGTCTCCTGACTGAGATGAGACAGGACTTGGGGGCAGGCCACCCAGCTTGGCTTTCTGTTCTTATTTAGGATGGCCACAGAAACCCCCGGCCTTCCCTCATGCATAACGCACTGCAAACCTTCCCATCCACTGCTCGGAATACCCCGAGGGAGGGGGCAATGTTGCTGTGTGCTGTGCACGGTTTACAGTAACGTGACTTAGGAGTCAGGCGGCAGTGCCGGAACTGGGTAACCTGACGCCTCCAGTGCCCCTGTGCCACCATGGCCATGTCTGCCCACTCCAAGCCTTTGACTGCCCTGTTCCCTGCACCCTGGGGTGTGAGGGAGGGTGTCTGCAGGCTGCAAAGCCCTGATCACATGGCCCTAGCAGCCGCCATCCCGCTGGGGCTCTGTGCTCAGCTCTCGTGCTCTCAGAGGCTCACTCTCTGCGTTTTATGCCGGGGCAGAACGCACCTGAGTCCCAGCACTCAGAGAACACCGCAGATCCCCATGGGCTGCCGAGTGTCACGGGAGGAGGCCTCATAGCCCAGCGCTGGATGGCCCACCAAGTGCCTGTGAGGGGCCCGGAGCCAGCACCACCATTGCTGCAGGAGCTGTGGGTACAGAGGGGAGTGGGGACAACCCCTGCAGCGCCTTCTAGGGAATGTCGGATCGAGTCCCACAAGCTGACAAGAACTACCGCCAGGGCCTGTAGAGATTTCCTTGGGTCATTACCCCAGACACGAAGGTGTTTCCGGTTTCAGAAGGAGCCAGGTCCAGGCAGAGGACGTCGGCCCCATGCCCATGGAAGCTCTGCAGCAGCTGCCCGCTCTCCACGTCCCACAGGGCACACGTGCCGTCGCCACTTGCTGTCAGGATCTGCCACGGAAAAGAACAGGGAGCACACTGCTGTTACTACTGCTGTGGGGTTAGTCAGCGCGTTAACGGTCCACAGGAGGAGGCAGACTCCACTCACACAGACGGACACACACACACGTACAGACACGGATATACACAGACACAGACACACACACACACAGAGTTGCTGAGCCATGTGTTTACATGCCTCTCTTCCTCCAGGGCTGCACTCCCCGAGGCCCCACGGCGGCACCTCCAGGCTCTGCCTTGCCTGGCAGTAGGAAGTGCTCTGTGAACCTATGTTGAACAGAACCTTCAATGGCCCCCACTGTTGTGCAGACCAGAAAGCACTTGAGGGCTTTCCAGATGTTCATGTGCACACAAACCACTAGGCTGTTTGCTAATACCAAGAGCCGGGGTGGAGCCTGGGCGTTCGCATTTCTTGCAAGCTCCCAGGGGGTGCTGCTGTTGGTCCCTGGACATCTGGAGCAGCAAGGGTCTAGGCAGCATTTCATTAGACACGTTCTGTTGCAGCTTCTCCCCAGAGGCTCCCTAGAACCACAAGTCCTGAGGGGTGCTCCTGCCAGCCCAGATCCAACAGGCATCTGCTGTGTGCTGGTAACGTCCAGACCCAGCTAAGGCATTAGGGTTTGCAGAAAAACTGTTTCTCAGTCTCTTTTCTCCTGAAACGTGGTTGAACAGGATTGGCAGTAAGAATGAACCAACGTGGGGCTGGCAGGTGGCACGGTGGTTAAGGTGCTGGACCCCCACATGGTCGACCATGATTTGCATGCCAGACCTGGCAGCTTGCTTTCTCACTCTCCCTCCCACTCCCTTTCCAGTCAAATTGAAGAATAATAATAAACAAATAAAATTAAATAAATAATTAAAAAAAAAAAAGAATGAAACCAATGTGACCTTCTGTCTCTGTGTTAAGCAATGCTGGGGCCAGGTATACACTCCTGTTACCATGTTAGACAATACTGAGACCAAGTGAAAATAACCTACCACTTCCTCCAGGAAATACCTGCTCCTCAAAGAAGAGACTGTGAACCAATGGACAGCTTCCTTATGGAGATTAATAGCTTGCTCCAAACCCTCTTAACACCCTTAGCATGCTAGGTTCACCGATCCAAAGATACACACCAGTTTCTTGCCTTCCCTGTAAGACCCTCCTTGAAACCACCCGTACCAGACCCCAAGCTGGCGTACCCTTCCCTCACTTCCCCAATCTGAGATACTACCAAGATTCTGTGAAGTTGAAGCTCTCCGTTACTCAGTGGGTCTGATAAACAGCTTCGGCGGCTGAAAGTCTCACTTGCCATCACCGGGCAAGACCAGCTCAATTACTGTACAATGGAAGTTCTGAGACCCAAGTGAGCACAGGCGAGCAGTACAGCCATATCCGAGCCATCCACGCCCTGGGTGGCCTCGTCTAATTTGGTCTTAAAGGATGAGCAGAAAGTGTACATGCAAGGGGAGGGGAGGGAGCTCCAGGCCTGCAGAGCTGCAGTTTAATTTTGTCACTCCTAATGTATGCACGTATGGGGTTCTGGCAGTGCACACCTTCCAGGTGCTGGGAGGAATGTAGTGGGAACTCAAGATGTGTGGTCTTCACCAGCCCAGGTGTGCATCTCCCAGCCGGGAGCCGCCTGGTCCTGAGCAGCAATGGAGGGGATCTGCAAGGGTGAAGCCTCCCTAGCACCCAGCTCTGCCTGCTCCACAGGCCTGGCTGATGTGGTAAGTCAGGGTAGGAAGTGGCTTTTGCAGTGTACATGTTCACCACAGAGAGCCATCTGTGGGTGCGATTACTGATGGCCGAGGAAAGAGAACAGGAATCAGGTCCTAAGGGCTGCTGGTATTCCATGCACACACTGACGATATGGCTCCTCCAGCTTCCTGGTGCTGGGTCTATTTTTTCCTTTCCTTCCTTCCCCTTTCTCTCCTCTTTCTTGTATGTTAGTCCTAGCACTTATAGAGTCTCCATTTTTTTTAAGAGTTATTTTATTTTATTTATTATTGTCTTCCAATTGACCAGAGAGAGAGAGAGAAAGGGAAAGTGAGAAAGAAGCCACCAGGTCAGGAACATGAACCATGCCTGGCCATTTTCCAGCGCCTTTAACCACCATGCCACTTGCTGGTCTCAAAGAGTCTCCCTGTGTTGCAGAGGAAACAGATTACAAGCAGGAGAATCCACTCCCACCCTGGCTCCATAACTGCAGGCTGCATTGTCTTGGCCTGAGTTTCCTGCCAGGCAGTTGGAGAAGCCTAGGGTCTCCTCGTGGTCAGGAGATGCCACTTTGGGGCTCCTCCATGGAGCGAGAGCTGGGCGAGTTCCGGAGCTCAAGGCTTCCTGGGCATGGCCCCGAACGCCCTCCTAAAGCCCCTACTCAGGAGCAGCACTCACATTTGGGGTATCTCTAAGACTGCAAAGAAGCCCCTGCAGGTGTCCATGGGACTCTCTCCAGCCCTCACTTCCCTCAGGAGGCCTGTATCCACCTAACAACATGACTTAGGGGAGTAGAAGTAGCTCGTGCGCACATGAGACAGGAACTCGGTCTCGACCTGGGCACTAGTATTTTGTACAATCTCCAACGCTCCTGACCCACACCTGCTAGTGGATGCCCCGGCCCATTTCTGTCCTAGCACTTGCAAAGGATCAGTGAATTAGTCTTTTTTGGGAAACTGGGTCTGAAAGGTCTGCTTTAGGGGATTACCCTGGTCTGGTTCTTTAATTTGGGAAATTCTCATACTATTCAATGAAAAAAATGAACAGTTTTTTAAAGTCAAAAGTAAATTCTTTTTTTTTTTTTTTTTTTGAGAGGTTTTTGCCATAGGGCATGTGTGCTCACCAGAAAGACAGAGAGACAGAAAGTGAGAAATCACCCCCCAGAGGGGATGGTCACGCCGCAATCCCTTCTCCTCCATTCTCCTCTCGGGATCTTAGGCACACATGCACACGCACCCGGCGTTAGTTTAACCCACTGGGTCCAGGACTCGAACTGCGGTTGACTACATGGGAGCTCAGTGACATAGCCATTATGTGGCTAGTCCCAAAAGTAAATTCTTAATAGGGATTTTTAAAATTTTATATTTTTGTGATCTTCATTACAATGAAAGCAAAAAAATAAATAAGTAAATTTTAAATACTAGATACTTATCCAGATAAGTGGATGAAATAAAACCCCTGACTCACTGTCAGTCCTGTTCTGGGATGCAGAGACTCTGCAGGTTCGATGTCACAGTCTTATCTCAGCCCCCCGAGTTTTCCTTTTATCTTCCTGGATCCCAGGGTTGGAAAAAAGCCTGAGGTTCATCAGTTCAGAAGTCCCCGAGCTGGGCTGTGCATCTGAACCACCCATGAAGCTGTGTGTTAATAATTAAATAATAAGCGCTAACTCTTTTTTTTTGGAGAGGTTTTTGCTATAGGGCGCTGTGCTCACCAGACAGAGAGAGACAGAGAGACAGAAAGTGAGAAATCACCCCCCAGGGGATGGCCATGCTACAGTCCCTTCTCTTCCATTCTTTTCTCAGGATTTTGGGCATGCACGCACATGTGCTGGATGTGAGTTTTAAGCCACCGGGTCCGGAACACAAACCACAGTTGACTACATGGGAGTCCAGCGACATAGCCATTATGCTAACTACTGGTCCTAATAAGTGCTAATTCTTAATCGAGATTTATCTGGGGCTATCCTGGTTTACACAAGTCATCTCCCTTATCCTCAGAAAACCTAGTGCACGAGGGATGTACCACACCCCCATCTGCAGGTGAGAGAGACTAAGCACATGGAATGAAAACCTTGTCCACGATCACCAGCTGAAACACAGCAGTGCCACGACCTGATCCCACCGTCTGACTCTGCCAAGACCTATATTGCTCGGAAGCACACAGGAACAATATGGCACCCCCATTCTGTGCACCCCCATAGAGACGTGCCAGCTGGGACTTCTCTGTCTGAGGCTGGTTGTTAGAAAGAAAGTGCTTTTGGGGTTGGCAGGTGGTGTGGTGGTTAAGGGCGCTCGACTCCCACGTGGCCAACCACAGTACGAGTCCTGGACCTGGTGGCTTGCTTTATCACTTTCTCTCTGTCCCTCTATGGTCAAATTAAAATACATACATATATACATACATAAATAATTCTTTAAAAGAATAAAAAGAAAGTGCTTTCTAACCTACAGGTGTCCCCTCAGACCCCCGCCCAGCACCTGTGATCACACAGAGAAGGGTGATGGGTCCCCACTGGACAGACTTCGGGTGCCTGACCACCGCTGTTCTTGTATCCCTTTTATCCCAGCTAACATCTTCTGTTGCTCTGGCTGTTCCTCATGTCCAAGGACATCTGGGTGTGCTCACTGCAACCAGCTGAAGCCATGGCATCCCCTGCTGCACGGGCCAACAGGCCTCCTGGTTGGGATCAACCAACAGGTGCAAACACCACCCACTGGCAACACTCCAAGTCCAAACAGCAATCCCGTCAGCCAGGTCCCCTGAACTCTGCCTCCAGCCCCGCCTTCCTCCTGACATCAACCAACCAAAGCAGAGTGGACTGTGGAGGCTCAATCCAACTTGGATACTCTCCCCCTTAAAACAAACCCAAATCTGACTCACCCTGGAAAGGCTTCCGCTGCCTTCAGGTGCCCTGGGAGAAAGCCCTACCCACCTTGAAGGCTGTCTGCCTCCCACTGTGCTCCCTCTCCATGGCTCCTGCTGTGTCACTGTCCTTCTTTAAGGGCAGCAACAAGCCTGTGACACCCTCAGCTCTCCAGCTTACCCGCTGTCCAGTCCTCACTGGTTTCAGGGAAGACCCAAGGGCCCAGACCGAGCCAGGTGGTGTCTGGCAACGTGGACTGCAGGCACCTCCAAGGTTTGCTGAATAAATAGTCTACAGGGTGCTTTCATAACCCACTCGAGAAAACTTAAGTCAAACTATTAAAAATTGTATTCTCTTCATCATGGAAACAGATCGAGTCTCTGAAGCACCTTCCGTTTGCACCCAGTTAAAATGGGTACATGAGGCTAGCAGGTGGCATGGTGGTTAAGGTGTTGGATTCCCACATGGCTGATCATGGTTGGAGCCCCAGGCCTGGAGGCTTTGCTTTTCCATTTCCCTTTCCCTTTCTCTTTTTGGTAAAATTAAAAAATAATAACAAAAATTATAAATAAATAAATAAATCTTTAAAAAGAAACACACAGGAACGTGAACAGTGAGATGTGTGACATGCACAATCTGAGGCTCAGCAGCTCCGGAAGTTTTACACACGTAAGCGCCATTTAACCTCCACCGAGGCAGGGCAGAGGATTTCCACCGCCCCAGACAGCTCCCTACTCCTCCCCCACCAATCAGAAGAGGTTCAATGTAGTCTAAACTTTATTAAATTCAGTACAGTATGACGTTTATCTCAGCTCTATCAATATCAATAGCCTTGCATTTCTGTTTCTGATTAGATTTAAAAATAATAATAACCAGCTTCCTCTCGGAGCAAACTGCCAGGGCACACACATCCTGATCAGACAGACACGGGAAAGCGCTCCCCCTTGCAGCTCCTGAGGGCCCTCGGACAGGGTGACCGAACCGAGGGCAGTTACTTACCTGCATGTCGGAGTTGGTGAAGCTGCAGGCCGACAGGTAGTTGGTGTGCATAGCGACAGACTTCTTTTTGGCAGCCATGTTCTCGTTTTTGTCAAACGTCAGTGGATACACAGAACACTTATTATCCAGACCACTAGCACGGGGAGGAAGGAGTGTCAAAGGTTACCACAGAGTAAGGAAGTAAGTGGATGCCTTCTCATCATGCAAACTTTCCATTTTGTTTTCTTTAGCAAGATCCTATGTTGTAACCTTTCCCTAAACTTTTACTTTGAAGATTATTAAACCTAAGGTGGGGTAAAATAGAAAGAAAAGAGCACAACGCACACCCAGACCCCTTCACCTAGACTCACAAACTCAGTTTCTTTTCATATGTGCAGGAGCAAATTCTACACTATGGGAATACAAACTGCAGATGTGATATTTTATTTCTTTTTTTAAAAAATTACTTCATTTTATTTAGTGTTACTATTTTTTTTTTAATTTAACCAGAGAAAGAAAGAAGGAGAGAGAAAGGGGAAGTGAGAAAGCAAGCTGCTAGATATGGGACTCGAACCACGGTGGACCACGTGGGAGTCTAGCACTTTAACCACCATGCCACCTGCTGGCCGTGATATTTTACTTATAAGTACTGCAATTTGCAAATTCACATCTCTAAAAATAAGAACATTCTCAGATACAGTCACCACATCATTATCACACCTGAGAAAGTTAACAAGTCCGTAATAGCATCTAATAAGCCATCCCTATTCATGTCCCCCAGCTGTCCGCAGGATCCAGGGCCCTCTCAAAGCTCCAACATTGCATTTGGCTTGCATTTGGTGTTTCTAGTCTATTAAGATCTGATCTAGAACAGACTGGACCTATGTTTTGTTGCTCATGACAGGCATCTTAGGCCAGCTGTTTTGTAGATGGTCACACACTCTACTTTGTCACATTGTTTCTTAATGGTTAGGCTCAAGGGTAACAATTGTGGCAAAAATAGTATAAAGATCATTTTGTATACTCCTTTCTTACTGCTTCAATTCAGAAGGTTTGTGATGCCTGTTGTTCCAAGACTGGGGGTGTCAGCTTCAATCACATGGTCAAGGTCTCTCCGTGGTCAAGGCAGTGCACTTGTCATTAGCCCTGGTCTGCGGTCCAAGACTAGGACTAATAGATTCTAGACACTAATAGGTTCTGAGATAGACTGTGGGGATATCCTCTTCCCCAACAGCCTTTCAAACAATGGCGTCAGCACGATTCTCCTTGTTTCAGATACTACTTCATGGGTGCAAAATGGTGATCTTCTAATCTCAGAAAGCCCTTTGCACTTATTAGCTGGTAGTTTTCTGTGAAGAGAGAACTCCCACTTGCCCGGTGTCACTGCACACCCTGGATTCTTTCTCTGTAATTGTGTTGTGATTCATTACTGTCATTCCATCTGATGCTCAAATTGCCCAAAATTGGGAGGGGGTGGGGGTTCTTCAAACCTACTCCTGTTTCTTTTTGACATGAACCCTAATGGTTCTTGAGTATTTCCTTGCTTTCTGGGACAAGAAAAGGGCTGGACTTATTTATCATTTTTCTGCTCCAGACCTAAAATCAGTCTTCCTCCAAGAAACCCTGCTTCCTAAAAGGAAGCAAGGAATATTTAGGATGTAGTCGCTCTATTCTGAGGCCCTGGGGAAGCTGGGGGAGCTCTGCCTTTCCAACTGCAGGAGGTGCGGGTGTATACCTGGGAGTTTATTAGTAGCAGTCAGCTTCAGCAAGCTTGTTTCCAGATTGTGTGGATGAGAATGATTTGCATTTGGACGTGGGTGAACAGGCTGTGGGATACATGTTCTCCCTGTCCTGGAGCTTCAGAGTAATTCCTGTGTCCTCGGGTTCTTGGTGTTGCCATGAAGTGCAGAGAGGCCTTGCAGGGTGACCACGCTGGTGCTGAATCGCTGCTTCAGTACCTAACTAACTGCGATCTTGGTCATGCTTTACAGGCTCTCTGGGCCTCAGTTTCCCCAATGCCTATCCCGAGGGGCTGCTGTGAGATCATATAGAATTCAGAATGGCTCTTGGCACATGACAGATGCTCAATAAGTGGTCACTGTCATTATTTTTGTATCTTTTCTTGCTTGGAAGAAGGCTTATCTTATTCATCTTTGAATCCCAACAGAATTTGGGAGTATAGGGACAGGTTTGAAAATGACATTACTGGGAGCCACCAGGTGGCCTGGTGGCTAAGGTGCTGAATTCCCAGATGGTCTACCATGGTTTGAGTCCTGGACCCAGTAGCTTAAAAATCATGCCAGGCACATGTACATGCACGCTTAAATCCCAGGAGGAGACTGGAGGAGAAAGGACTATGGCATGGCCATCCCCTCTAGGGGGTGATTTCTCATTTTCCCTCTCACTCTGGCAAGTGCATGGGCCCTATGGCAAGAACCTTCAAAGAAAAACAAAGCAAAACAAAACAAAACCAACTACATCATTGTTATTTGGTAATGAAAACAATTATAAAAAAAGTTTGTTTGGTTTTTGGATAAAGTTCAGGGAGGGATTTAACACACTACTTAACAAAAATGACACGTTCTTATTTGTTGATTGTTTTTGCCGACATAATGGTATTTTACGGCTAATAGAGTGTCTTAAAGCCGCCATAGCCACAACTTACCCACAGGCGATGGCACATCCCGACGGGGCGTACGCACAGGCCATCACCCAGGTGCAGGGCATCGTGACCGCGTGCTCCTGAAACACAGCAGGCACCAGTGGGAGGGTGAATGACGGGCACTTGCACACAAACGTCCTAAGGGTCAGCTTTTACAAAGTGAAATCACCAGAATTCCTACAGAATTACATTATCGCTCCCAGTGAACAGGTACGGTGTAGAGCAGCTTGTGACAAGGGGACTCTGTCTCCCTACGACCAACCAAACTTTATGTCATATATTCTGAAAGTTAACATCTCAACTAGCAAAGAAAAAAATCTTTAATGTTTTTTAAAATATTAAACTCACAGGCCAGTTGGCGGGGTGAGGGTGGCTGGATCCCACATGGGTGACTGCACAATTCAATTCCTGGACTCAGCTTGAAAACACAGTGGGTGCCTATGCATGCCCGAAACCCCGAAAGGAGGGAGAAATGGACAAGAAGGGGGTGAATACAATGTGACCATCCCCATGGGAGGTGGGAGGTACGTTCTTACTCTCTCCACCCCCTCTGACCCCTGCAGGGAGCACACAGGCTCTCTTGCACAATACATTTTTTAAAGTTTGCTATAGGGCGTATGTGCTTGCCAGAGAGAGGGAGGGAGAGAGAGAGAGAAAGACTCCTTCCAGGGGGGAAGGCCATGCCACAATTCCTTCTTCTTCATTCTCATTCTTGGGATTCCGGGCAGGTAAGCGAATGACAAAAGCCGTTTCAAAACCTTCTGAGTCTGTGCTCTTGTTTCCGTGGGAGACAAGGACCCTGGTTTTGGTTCTGATACCGAGGAGGAGACGTGCGACCCCATGCAGGCAGGTCATTGGTCCTACTTCGGCCCTCATTTTCTACCTGGGAAGTGAGGAGACAGGACTAGATGATTCCCAATGGGTGGTCAAGTGTCGTTCTTTTCTATTATGATTCTCAGTGTTTTTGTGGGAAACAGGTCCTAACACTGCCTTCCTAAATGCTGCTGCCTTTCGGAGGCCAGCCATAATCTGCTGTCTTCCGAGGAGGAGCTGAGGCAGCTGCTCTCAGCACCAGGCATCCTTGTAGGTATGGCTCCATTCTCTGCCAGGGGTCATACGTGCCAACCCCATGGCTCCCTAGAAATCGGTCCCTGCTCTACACCATACTTAGCTGTAAATTGGAGCAACTAACCCCACGCAGCCCAGGAGACGCCGAGGAGGAGGCGGGCTTCCCAGCAGGTGGGAAGTGTGCAGGGAAGTCCCCCTCAAGGTATTATGGAGCTATTATTTTCATTATCTGCCAGGGGCCTGACCGTGAGGGACTCAACTCTGCAAAGTGGTTTCGTCTCCTCACTTGGCCAGATCATGTACCAGCTGCCCACCACGACATTGACTGTGACGTTTAAACACAGCCTATGTCACAGACCTTGGATGTAGCTCCATCTGAGACTGATACGGGTCTCATTTCTTTTTTTTAATGTAGCAGAAAGGACTTTCCTCTTAAAAAAAAAAAAATCAGTCCAGGGACTAGTAGATGGTGTATAGTGGTTACGTTGCTGGACTCCCCCGAAGTATGAGTCCCAGACACAGTGGCTTAAAACTCACACCAGGTGCATGTGTATGTGTTTAAAAAAACAGAAGTCAAACAAAAAACCAAACATATTTTATATACAATGCTGTTTTTTGTTTGTTTGTTTTATTTTAATGCCAACATACACAATTATGCAAAGATACCTACACCAAGATTTTGGCGTTTATCTTTTTTTTTTTTTTTAAGAAAGATTTTTTTCTTTTTGCTATAGGGCACATGTACTTGTTGGAGAGACAGAGACAGAGAAACAGAAAGTGAGAAATCACCTCCAAGGGGGGATGGCCACACTGCAATCCCTTCTCCTCCATTCTCCTCTCAGGATTTTGAGCACGCACATACACGTGCCCAGCGTGAGTTTCAAGCCTCTGGGCCTGGGACTCCAACTGCAGTCGGCCATGTGGGAGTCCAGCAACGTAGACATTACCCCATCTGCTGGTCCCCCTTTTGGCCTTTATCTTAAGAGTTCAACTTTCAGCCTCATTCTGAGCCGTGCACCGTGGGACAGTTCAGTTGGTGCGGCCGCAGCCTCACCCTCTCCACCCACCACGAGTCTGGTCAAAGATGGAGGGGAGACATAGCTGAGAACTGTGGAGCCCCCATCATTGCTCAGAACAATGAATAAATAAATGCAGCTGCACACGTGGACTGGAAGTGCTCCACGCTCTGCCTGTCCCACATTCCTGTGAGCGCCCTCCATGGTGGCTCGACGTGCTGCCCTCAGGGCGAGAGGTTTCAACCTGAGGACACATGCTGTGGTGGGGGCTGCACAAATACAAATACGCCTGCGCTTGGCTCTCGTGGCGTTCCCCTCCCTAGAGGCAGGGGGACCTGGAGGGGAATCGGGTCGTGGCCAGGTGGCTGGACCAGCACCCCCTACGTAGGCCTTGGGTACTGGGGTGCCTCTGCGGGGCGGGGAACAACGCCTCACCTTGTTAGTCGTGAAGGAATCCCACACGATCACCTTCCCGTCCTGGAGGAAGAAGAGAAAGGATTGAGGACAAGCCCTTACAGTAACCGCTGAGGAGTCCAGTGGCCAGCTGGGCACGGGAAGTGAAAGACAGGGGGGCAAGCTGGGGAGGGCCTGAACTTTCCAGCTCGGTGAGAGGCTCGGTCTTCATCCTCGCAGTCCCGTACAGACCCCACTACACAAAGCGACCAGACGCTTCTCATATACCATTCCCTGCTACGCTGTCACTACCCACCACACCGCACATGCCAAAAAAATCCTTTGGGGAAGTACCCCTGCCACTGCCTTAGGTACCTGACAAACTCCCTCCTTCTCCCACAGCGCCCCCACCACCCTGTCTTCTTCCCCTGCCTTGGAGTCCAGGTTTCCTGCAGCACCGTCTTCTTCCCCTGCCTTGGAGTCCAGGTTTTCTGCAGCATCAGAGTTCTGTCCCATCCTCCGTCCACTTCTCTGCTGCATGGGCCCAAGACCTGCCTAACTCTTCCGGACGCTCACAGACACTGCAGCCCCCGCCCTGACAGTCTCAGCTACACCAGAACGAGTGACTGCACCCACCACGGTGGCATCCCGAGGGACGCTGTTCAGTAAACAAGGTACGGGCTCAGTCGGGGTTAGTGCGGGGCTGGCCGAGTCACAGACAACGCTGCTGCTTTCATTGTAACTGCTGCTGCAGCCACGCCGCGGGTCTGGGGGGTGACCACCACGTCAGCCGTGTGTAATCTACACCCACCAGACCTGACCCACATTCGCCCTGGTCACTGCAAAGCAGCCGGCTGCCAGAGCGGGCCATGAGAGTTCTCTGGGCAGGCAGTGCAGGAGGCCCCGCTTCAGCGCAGGGGCTGCACATCCTCACAGCGGCTCCACTTCTGCATCTCTCTCACCACCTGGTGAATGACGTGGGGAGATCAGGATGGCAAATACCACTTAGGGGCAGGAGCGAGGTCTGATTCTGAGTGACAGAGTCGATCCAATGGAGGTGTTAATGCTGTGTGTGACTGAGGGATAGGGCCTTTCAAGATTCCCGAGCAGACTGGGTCTTCTGATCTAATTTCTGTCTCATTGCCTAAACACAGTGTGTGGGGGTCGGCTAGGGCTTTAGTCAGGGGGCAGAGCAGGGGCTCCAGGCCTGTCACCTCAGGCTCCCCACATCGACATGGAGAGCCCCCCCTGCCGGCTAGGTAGGGGGTGCTGACTCAGTGCATTGCCCTGCCAGTGCCCCCTTCAGTGGCTTCCTCCACCTCGGCCTCCCTGTCCCCACCGCCTACTCACTGTATGCTCTGGAGTCTCATTAAGTTGAATGTGGTCCCTCTGTGAGCAGAGTTAGACGGCAGGGCCTACACACCCACAGAGCAGGTGCCTCCACCGCCAACTCTCACCCCACGTGGTCAGGGTGACTCATCTCCTGCATTTTAAGGGAGACGGCTCCTCCAGAATCTCCCTGCAGTTTTGCAGCCATCTCCCCACACCCCACTCACTTCTTCCTACACACTCTGGAGCAGAGGCGGATGGAGCATGGGGAGTGCCCAGCAGAGCTGAAGCAGCCCTGCCTCACTCCGCTCCTCTCTAATAAGGGTGCACCCGAGTGGCAGAAAATCCATTTGTAAAGATTTAAAAAGCTGGAAAATAAAAAAGCTAAGTAGGTAGCAACAGGTACATCTTGATAACCACTCTGTAAAAATGATCATTTGGAAAAAAGACTAGAAAGAAATACTATAAAATAAGAGTGTTGTCACAGAGTGGTGGGGGTTATTTTTCCAGTGTTTCTTTAATTTGGCAAAAAAAAAACATTAGTGACAACTTTATGATGAACAAACAATGAAAAGAAGTGCAATGCGACACACTACATTCCCGGATAACCCAGGATATTAATAACAACTGTCCTATCAGACACACACTGATAAAGATGTTAGAGCTGCGGGTTATTCAGAATAGGCACTGCTTTACCTTTACAAAGGTCATTTAAAAACTCTTGGAAAAGCTGGGCAGAAGGCAGAGGTGGGACGAAATCGACCTTGATCATAAAAATATGATTCACAGAATTTCTCACGTGACTGCAATTTATAGCTTATGTTCAGTACATGTACCATAACAACAGACATTAAGAAGTACCACGTTCTGGAAGTCGGTCTCCAGGACAGTCCCCCGCCCGGCCTCCGGTCGTCACATTCCCGGCATACTCCATCCTTCTCGTATCAGAGCTGGTCTGTGTGACCAACGGACTGTCCAGAAGCGACAGGATGTCGCTTCCGAGGCTAGGTCATAAAATACAGTGCGACTCTGCCTCTGCCTCTTGGTTCACTTGCTGTGGGGAAGGCCAGCTACCAGTCACGAGCCCTCTGGAAGCCCAGTGGGGAAGAACTGAGGCCTCCAGCCAGCAGCCGTGCAGTGAGCCCCTCTGGGAGCAGGTCTCTGTGTCAGCCACGCTGTCGGATGACGCAGCCTGACTGACGGCTTCGTGGCAGCCTCATGAGAGACCCCGAGCCAGCTAAGCCACCCCTGGACGCCTGACTCAGAAAACGTGGGAGATAACAAATACATGTTTTAAGCTGCTAAAATCTGAGGAAATTCATTAGGCAGCAATAGATAACTAAAATGTAAAGTATAAAACAAACTGTACATTGCATAAAATGAATTTAAAAAATTATATTGCAGTTTACAAAACAGATATCTAAAACTGTTCTTGAAAACATAAAAATGGCTGAACTCTTAAACTGAAAAGTAGGCATTGGTGGAATCTCAATGACTTATGCCTTCAAGTTGGGGGTCGGGAGAACGAGACTATTTGAAAAATCGTTTTACTACAAACACGCCCTTGGCCTATGTTCAGGAAGAAATGATTCTGAATGGCTCATCAGCGGAGTCAAACACAGTCCGCGATGTTTCAGCTCTTGCCAGCTGCAAACCCATCCAAACTGCGGAGGGTCTACAGTCTGCCAGAGAACCCCTCAGGCTAAATCGTGTCCTTCAGACAATAAGCAAAGCCATAAAAACAAAGAGGGCTTTGGGAAGGACGGCTGTGCCCCTCCTAGCTGCCCTGTCAGAGTCCTGCCCACCGCGCCCAGCAGCTGCACCCACCTGTGACGAGCTCACGATCCTCCTCTTGTCCTTGCACCAGTCCATGCACAGGACTTTGTTGCCGTGGCCTTTGAGGGTCCTTCTGGTCTTCATGACAAACTGCCCCAGGGCCTCCACCCGCTCCGCCACCTGGTGCACTGGAAGGACAAGGCCACCATCAGTTCTGTCCCTAAGGACAGGGTTCGGAGCCATGAGCCAGCACGGGCATCGGCCTACAGAGGGGGGCAGCCCGTGTGCTCTCCACACCGCAGCTTGTTCTCCCTGTTCCACTGTTCCCCACGGCGATACTCTGTCTTTTACAATCAGTACAAGTATGGGGGCCAGCAGGTAGCGTGGTGGTAAAGTGCTAGACTCTCACACGGCTGACTGTGGTTCTAATCCTGGACCGGGTAGCTTGCTTTTTCACTTTCCCTGTCTTTTTCTGGCCAAATTAAAAAATATTAACAAGTAAAATTAAATAATTTTTTAAAAAATAAAGACCAGTAGAAGTCAGAGACGGCACTATCATTCTCTGTGGGTTCTCAAAAGAAAAGCTTTTATTTATCCATTTCATTCACGAGTGTGAGAGAGCAAGCATGCACACCCAAATGGGTCTTGATGCTGCAATCCACCTCCAGCCTCAGCCAGTCCCCGGTCACGGGCAGGCATGTGCCCAGCAGACTCAGGGAGGTCATGGGACTGGAACTGGGAACTTCCCCATGTGGAATTGCCTTGCAAAGTGTCGCATTTTACTGCTGAGCCACTGTCTGGCCCCTCTCTTTGTGTTTGAGACTGTGTTTTACAAGGCACTTCATATATGCTTGTTGAGGGGTCAAAGGGAAAGAAGGAAGGAAAAAAGAGAAAGAAGGGGAAGGGAAGGGAAAGGGCTGAGGGGGGTCAACTCAGGTTTAGGCCAAATGTCCACGGCGCCCCTTCTTAGGGAATCCTTCCTCCTTCCCTCTCTCATCTTTGATGCTCCAATTGTCCGGGTTGCCCTGCGGGACCCCCCGCACGCAGGCTTCTGTGACTTTCTGACATGTCCCCATCATTCTTTGAGCTCTTCTTTTCCAACTTCCTATTGTCCTTTCCCTGCCTTCATCCGAGAACCAGTCACGTCTCCAAGGAACCTCGGTAGCTGTCCCTTTTGTGTGTGATGACAGGAACCGTGGAGTGCCACACGGATGTTCAGAATGACGCCATTGCTTCTTCTAAAAGGACGCATCCTTCGTTGCTTCCTGCAGCGTGCTGGTCTCCTGAGATACACTCCTCGCCACACACACCGAATGAAGCTGGAAACAGACCATGTTTTCTGAATTCCGTCATGGCTTTCACACAAGCCTGTATCAGTTTGGAGCTGGCGTGAATTCTATTTAGTGTTTTATTTTGAAACTGCATCGATATTATTGCTGCCAGCTCCCATCCTCCAATTCAACTTTAGGGTTTAAAAAAAAGTAAGAAAAAGATGACTCACTCAACCAAAATAGGGCCCTCCTTACATAATGTGAAGGTGAACACATCTCAGCTATTAATTACCTTTTCTCACTGCAGCTTCTTTTCCCACATGCGAATTCACTCCCAACCCACTCCACCCTGCATTTATCTGCTAAATCTCATATTAAAGAACTCCCCAAAATTTGAATATCAGGATGTTTTTTAAATCTGGAAGTGAGCTGAATGTCTCATGTATTATTTGTGGAGCTTGGTCCAGGGTGGATGTGGTTTCTCCTTTGCCTTTTAGGATTTAACTTTTCTTCTCTTTAATTATTATTTTTTTTTTAGGTTTTTGCCATAGAGTATGTGTCCTCATAAGAGAGACAGACATACAGACAGTGAGAAGGAAAGTAAGAAATCACCTGCTGGGGGGACAGTGAGAAGGAAAGTAAGAAATCACCCGCTGGGGCTTGGGGGTTCGGCCATGCCACAATCCCTTCTCCTTCACTTTCCTCCTGGGATTTTGGACATGCATACACGTGTCTGGTGTGATTTTCAAGCCTTCAGGTTCAAGACTTGAATTGTAGTTGGCCACATGGGAGACCAGCACCTTAATCACACCACCTGCTGCCTCCCCCCTTAAGAAATGATGACTATAGGACGAGCAGTTGGTGTAATGGCTATGTCACTGAACTCCCATGTAGTTGACCACGGTCTGAGTCCCAGACCCGGTGGCTTAAACTCACACCGGGCACATGTGTGTGTGTATGCCCAAGATCCCGAGAGGAGAATGGAGGAGAAGGGATTGTGGCCATCCCCCATGGGGGGTAATTTCTTGCTTTCTGTCTCTCTATCTTTCTGGCAAGTTCACACACCCTATAGCAAAAACCTCTTAAAAAAATAAAAAAGAAGAAAAAAAAAATGATGACTACTACCAGCTGCCGTCTGTAAGAATTCGCTAGCATATAATGGTAATGTATTAGAAAGTTCCACTACAGGTCAGCTTTAGGACAGGGTGCCGTACTGTTTGACTGTCCTTTGAGGCAAAACTGGAATAAAAAGGTTAAGAACGAACCCAGGTTCCAAATCTGGGCTGCTGCGGTCAAGGCCCAGCTCTGCCACACACACACACACACGCACACCCTGGAGCTGGTCGTGACTTTCGCGTTCCCTTGTCTTTCCATAGATTGCTGGTGGGGTGGCCATTCCTGCCTGGCACAGTAGGGAGCCTTACAAGGACTAGCTGTGATACCCTCCTGCTTGGCAAGAGGACTGGACAGCAAGAGAACAGGGCCAGAGGGATCAAATGAGCACGAGTCTTTAGGGGCAGGATAAGAGCTTGATCACAGCAGTGTGGAGAGTGAGTGGCAGGCGTAGGCAAGTAATGGCTGTGTGAGTGTGGTGGGGCTCATCTACCCCACCACACTCACTGTCACTAGAGCAGACAGGGTCAGCTCTGCCTTTTCGTGACTGTCTCTGGCTGCAGCGTGGAAGACAGCGCCGAAGGAGAAAACACTGGAGGAGGAAGACCAGCTCAAAGACCTCCTACCTTGTAGACTCTCCTCCAGAAAACATGGCTGCCTGATGCATCTTGCTTCTCTGGGATCCCTCCAAGATGGGCCCGAATACCGCTGGAGTGACGCCAATGGGGCCTTCTCTCCAGCCCTCAGATGCTTTCCTTCCCATATCCAGGAAGCAAGCACTTCCCCCATGGCCTCCCTGTTTAGCTGAAACCTATGAGGCTTGAACTGTTGAATACCCTGAGATGTCCAGAAACTCCAGACTGAAGGAATCAGAATAAGAAAACTATGCCTGGAACTGGAGAGGAGGAACGCAGAGCTGCACGTGTCGGCCAGTAAATGTTTCCTGTCTGAATGACGTTCCGAACCCCTGCCATGTGCTAAGTATTGTGCCAGGGGCTTGGGTACAGGAAAAAAGCAGCCAGTCTCTGCTCTTCCTGAGGTCACGGTCTAGAGGGGCAGACGGGCCAGCATGCAGGGGCAACTCCAGTTCTGGGTGATGAGGGCTAGCAGAGGCTGTCTCCCAACCCTAGCAGCCAGAGTGTAGCATGGCTCTCCTGCAGGCAGGTGTGCTCATCGCAGGCAGTACCACTGGAGACTGGTTTGAAGGATGCACAGGAGTTGGGCTGGGGAAAGGGTAGGTGAATCTTTTGTTTCCTGATATCTTTTTTTAAATTTGTTTTTCAGTAAAGTGGAAGACAATGACCTAGTCCATGGATGTTCTTAGGTCTAAATGAGAAGGCAAGTTAAAGCACCTACCAGGTGCCTAGCAGGCCAGGAATCAAGACTGCAGAGTTGGGGTACTAGGGACTAAGGACTAGGAACAACATAACCTGGAGGAGAGAGGGCATTTGAAATGGAATGGCCATGAAAGCGAGGGATGGCGTTTAGGGTAGAGAAGGAGCGAATGAAAAGGGCTGTGACCATGACTCGCTTGGGGCACCAACTTGCCTGGACTGAATGATGCCTGGGCGGCTGGCGAGATGCGGTGTCAAAGAGTGTCTGTGAGAGTGCCGCCTGATGAGACTGGTGAGAGAAGGCCCACCTTCAGTCTGGGCAAGCGCCCCCACCTGGCTGGGAGCCCGCGATGGACAAAAGGAGAGGGGCTCTCCGCATCAGCCCAGCCCTTCCTTCCAGAGCGTGCCGTGTCCTACTCTGCCCAGTTCTGTCCTCCTGCTCCCTCTCTCCTCCACTCAGCCCTCAGCTGTGTCCTGGTCCAGGCACCCATCCAGTCAGACTCCAAGTCCTTTAACCTTTGGATGCTGGACTCACACCAGTGGCCATTGAGGGTGCGTGGGGCTACAGACTCCCAAGGGCCCCCTTCAGGACTGGAACTGTACCAGCTCCTCTGCTGCAGAACTCTTCATATTTTTCTCCAGCCTGTGGTGGGACTTCCCCACCTTGTGATTGGTAAGATAATTCCCACAATAAGTCCTTTCTTTTATATATACATATGTATATTTTAGTTTTTATTATGTATGATAGAATTTTTATGATATATATATATATATATATATATACACACACACACACACACACTTAAAATTTGAAAAAGGGTGCATGCATTCTGCAGAGACAGAGAGTGAGAAACCACGCCGCAGGGCGTACAGCCACCACAATCCCTTCTCCATTCTTCTTGGGATTTGGGTCTGCACGCGCAGACGCGCAGACACGCAGACACACACACTCTGTGTGTTTCTCCAGTTGCCCAGTCTTCAGGGTCAGCCAAGATCCAGTCACCTTAACCACCATGCTACCTGCTGGCCCACTGAGCGATATTTTATAGAAAAGAAAATCTTATTTTAGACAGAAAAACATTATTTTGTTTCACATTCATACTTGGGCTTCCCTTGGGCCTGTTCGTCATGTGAGCCAGATTCCACATGGCTGACCACTCAGTTCAACCTCCAGCCTCAGCAGCTTGAAAATCACACCGAGAACACACACATGTGTAACCCAGGTCCCGACAGGATGGCAAATGGAGGAGAAGGGATTGTAGTGTGGCCATGCCCCACTAGGGGGTGAGATTCACACCAGAGAGACAGAGAGACAGAGATACAGAAAGCGAGAAACCACCCCCCCAGGGG